AATGGCCTTGAATAACTAAGAATGGTAGGCCTCTAAAGAAGAGGCTACGAATAAGAAGATCCCGTTAAAATGGGGAGGTTACTAAAGAAGTGGCCTTGAACCAGGCTCCTTAGAAAGGAGGAGGCCTCTAAAGAAGAGGCCATGAATAAGTAAGATCTCTAGAAAAGGTGAGACTGTTGAGGAAGCTGCATTGAACAAGAAAACCCCCTAAAAGGGGAGGTCTCTAGTAAAGAGGCTATTGGAAGACTCATTTTACGAATGGAAAGCCATTAAAGAAGGGACCATAAAACAAGCAACCTTGAAGATGATATTTGATGAATTAATTTAGAGGCTTCATCCTTGGAGTATGAGGCTTCATCATTGCCTATGCAATGCCCCATTAGGTGAAAAAAAAATCCAAATTGAAGGGGAACAACACAAAAGAAGAGAAAAAGACTAAAAGCGTACAAAAATGTGAACTTTGGGATTGAAATGTAGATGTTCCGAAAGTTAAAGATCATGAATGCAATATATCAAAGGTATGATTGAAATAAAAGAAAAAATCTAAGGATCAAAACGTACCAAATCAAAAGTTGAGGGACCTAGGCATGAAATTACTGAAGGACTTAAAAGGCAATTTTAATATTTTATCTATATACAAGCATAAGCTTCCACAAGGCTCACCACATAAGACCTCATATTTTGCCTATGTTTCAGTATCTCAACATGCAAGGCCTCATCCTTGCCTATACTTCAGGCTCACCATACTATGCTTTAGTGTCTCAGCATACAAGGCCTCATATTTTGCCTATGCTTCAATGCCTCAGCATGTAACGTGCATCATCCTTCCCTATGCTTCAGTCTCATAATATAAGGTTTCATTCATAGCTTTGCGAGTGTTTATTCTTCTCTTCTCATTATTGTTGAGCCTAGCTGTAAGATCTTGTCATTTTGAGAAACTCCGATAGTTTTAGAGCTATATGTGAGATTTTCCCCCCCTCGCTAGATGCTTATTTCTCGTCCACTTGAGGCCAGCTTACAGGTCTCATATAGTTTAAGAGAGTCACTAACCTTATATTTATGCCTCGCTCAGCAAGATGCTTTACCATACGAAATGTTTCATTACAAGTGCATTTATATTAAGAGAGTTTATATTATCCCCTGATGGATGAACCATCCACCATGCAGGAAAATATAGGTGCTTTGAGTCCAAATTTTCTAAGGTTGATATCACATGCCTTCCATGTACAAATAGTCATGGGAGAAGCCTCTGCACGGATGAACCATTCATCATACAGGGAAGTATGGGCATTTTGACGAAGAGCTGGATTTGAAAGGGGACCGTCTCCTAGCTCGTCAAAGAGAATAACACATGCCTCCTCATAGGAGAAGCCTCTGCACAGATGACCCATCTACCATGCAGGGAAGCGTAGAAGTGTTGGATCCTTAAAGGGACCACATCCTAACTTGTCAAAGCAGATAGCACATGCCTCCTATGTATAAATGATCATGGGAGAAGGCCTCAATATGGATGAATCATCCACCATGTAAGGAAGTGTCGGTGCTTCGATGAAGAACTGGCTCCTAATGATCGTCAAAGCGGATAACACATTTCTCCCATGTACAAATGGTCATGGGAGAAGCCTCTGTATGGATGAGTCATTCACTACGCAAGGAAACATGGGCGCTTCGACGAAGAGCTAGAACACAAAGGGGACCACCTTCTAACTCGTCAAAGCGGATATCACATGCCTCCCATGTACAAATGGTCATGGGAGAAGCCTTTGCATGGATGAATTATCTACCATTCTGGGAAGTGTGGATGCTTTGATGAAGAGCGGGATCCTAAAGGGGGTCCCCTAACTCGTCAAAGTGGATAGAACATGCCTTCCATATACAAATGATCATGTGTCAATTTGATCTAAAAATGAATCGATAGAACCTTCTTCAATTTAGGTCTAAATTCTTCGCTTTTGTGAATACGAAAATGTGCCCGTCCTTTTCTCTCCCTATCTAAATCTAATTTTAACTGGATCCATTTGAATTGATAAGAATTCAAACATGGGTTTGATTCACATTCCATTAACTGATAATTATTTACTATTCGAAGAGAGGAAAAAATGGAGTTTTTATCTGAAGAAATGCTTTGAGAAAGGGTAGATGTATTGAAGAGATAATATTTTTTCAACTCTCATAAAATGGAATCTATTCCAAATATATGTGCCATGTCTCCCTCAATAGGGTATAAATATTGAGTCAATCTATTTACAAATATGTTTTTTGGTTGTTATTGTAGCTTTAATACTTATTTGGAGGCAAGCGAAGTTGGTAAATTTACAATGCAGTGCTCTAAAATATGGTGAGGCGCGAGATGAAGTTAGCGTGAGAAAATGTAAATGTAAATTTCATAATAAGTTGAATTTGCATTTGGGTCATTTGTTGGGCTGGGCTATCTTTCCCCACAATGTCAATCTTTTCTTTTTCACCTCAAATTTAGGGTAAATTTCTTTAGCGATCACTGAATCTTCAATAAAATATCAATAGGTTAACTAAACTTTTAATTTATCTACATTTTGTGTCAAATTTATTATTTTTATTTATCATATTCGGTGACCTATTTTCCGAAAGCTGACTTATATTGCTTGGTTTTTAAAATACAATGGATCTTTCAAGTAACTACTATGTGCTAAACTAGAAATGTAAATTGCAAAATGTGAGTACGACAATATTTCTAGACTAAAAGGTTGACGCAATGGTTATTTGACATACCACAAAGCGATCATATGGGACATTTGCTATGATGCCCTCAATTAAAATTTTAATTGATTTTAAAAGTTTTTCCAGATTCCGGTATCCCGAATTGAGATTTTATTAAATTCCTTCAAAATCTAGGAGTACTCAACTGAGATTTTAATGTATTTGAATGAAATCCTTTAAAAGTTTGGCATCCTAAATAATTTGTGGATTTATAAGAATTTCAATCATGATTTCAAGAAATTTAGATGGATTTTAAGTTTAGATTTTTTTTGAATTTTCCTATTTTAATGAGATTTTTATAGATTCTATAACTCCTCTTTGGACGAGGCTCTAGACCAATTCTACCAGATAGCAAGTCAACCATGCCCAAACTCTAAATCATCCTCCTACCTAGTTGAGGTGAGGTTACATACAAGATAGCTGAGGTAATACATCACTTTAGTCAAAGTGCCATGTAGATGTCGACCTTCATGGCATAGGCAAAGTGCCACGCATGTTGTAGGGAAGAAGTGCGAGGCAATTAATCTCCCACTTCACATCTTTCCAAGAGATCTTTCAGACAAAATCTTCCTACAATCTTAAGGTCAGACCTATAATGTATGGATTGACATGTAGGAGATGATTCCTCAACCATTAGGATGAGACCACGTCTTTCCATCCAACTATCAATAACACATTTCTTATACTATAAAAGCTCACACTTAATACCATATGAAAGTAATGCAAATTTAGACTTCAAAGCTACAAGTTTGATTCCAATATATATTGTTAGGAAAATGTGTAATTGGCAATCTGTGACCAAAGGACCTATTTGTCAAAATTGTAAAGTCAAGGACTAAATTGTTCAGGGACTAAAGTTGCAATTTAGTAAAGGTCATAGCATAGGTCTGTGGTAAAGTGGGATGCTTTGAAGATGCAAACGGCGGGTTGATGTCGCTGGAGTTTCGCCCTGACCTTGCTAGAGCCAAAATTGCAGAACTGACCTCGCTGGAGTTTCGCCCTGACCTTGCTAGAGCCAAAATTGCAGAACTGACCTCGCTGGAGTTTCGCTGATCTATCGCTTGAGCGAAGGTACGTCGCTCGAGTTTCGCCAAGACCTCGCTCGAGCGACCATATTATCTGGCCTTTGGTAATTCTAATGCCTCGCGAATTTTTAACGTCCTATATTACCAAATTCGACCTACTATATAAACAAAACGTTCGATTTTCTAATCAGACCTTGGCAAACATTAAAACAACAATTCCTCTCAACTTTCAAAGGATTAAGAATCAACAATAAATTCATCTTTTTCATCTTTGATTCTTATGGTTCTTTGAATAAAAACATCAACCCGCACAAAACCAAAACACCCTTTCATATTTCTATATAAACTTCCAGAAGATCATCTGTTTGAAGATCCGGGAAGGAAATTGCTTGAAGAACTGGAGAGCTTGGTGATTCACAGGAAGTAGAAGATATTCAAAGTTGAGATTTTGGCGCAGATCTGCAAAATTCAGGATAACTGTGGTCGATACAGTAAGGAGGTCAGAATATTGTTAGAATCAATAATGTCTGACGTACTGTAAGTCAATATCTTCTATAGTGGATCTCTACTGGTTTGTGCCCGAAGTTTTTACCCAGTTGGGTTTTCTCCGTCAACATTTTGCTGTGTTTTTACTGCTTTCTGCTATTTACTTTTCAACCGGTAATTCAACTTAGGTAGGTAAAGTATGTAAATGAATCTAGGTAATGTATAATTGATGTGACTTGTTGCATCAGTTAATTAATTATTTTAATTCCGCATAAACACCTATTCACCCCCCTCTAGGTGTTGGTTGGGTCGAACTATTGCTTTTTCATATATTAACCTCATACCTTCGTAAATCCAGCCCCTCAACACCTAGTGGTTCATGTCTTTAGCACATCATACACTCGTACACCTATACATTGATTTACTTGATTGTCGAAGTGCATGTGGTTACATCCTCCACCATCGAAAAAGGCTTGTGTGATTGATAGTTTATCCAAGGGTGCAAGAACAAGGCTGTGATATGTTGGCTACGTTTCCCTACAAAGACGAGGTCAATAGATTCTATGAAAATCTATTCAAATTCACGAAATTCTATAAGATTTATAATTTTTAAAAATTTATTAAGATCTCATTTGAGGACGCCCTTGTAAAAGTAAGAAATTTCATCAGTTTAGGAGATGAGTGGTGACAGAATTTGAACTGAAATTTAGTGATCCAATTGAAGCAAATTAAAATTTACTGACCCAATTGAGATTTCTCCAAACTTTAGTGACCGCACGTTAAATTTTCCCTAGAAAATGGTGTTAGGCAAGCTCCCAGCCCGATGGGGCTTTCACTGGAAATTAATACAAAGCTGCATAACTTTACTTCACCTAGCATTGCAGAATTTCATTCTATTGAACAAAACTGCTGTGAACGTTGCGAAAGCTAAAAGACAGAATATGTGCTGCATATTACACATTCTGTACATATATGATTGACCAAAATTACTTACAATATCAAATATATGATTTTCAAAACTCCACCTTTTTCTGGAAAGTAAATCCCGTCTTGTTCTCATTTCTAAAAAAGTAAATTTAAGAATAGGCTGTCAACCATGACCTGATCCGCTGCCTTTCTCAGAACTTCCAATTCCAATTCGTCCTTCTCTCCTTAATTTATCTTCCTTGGATTTTCTACAGAAAATAACCCAAGAATTCACTTCCAGTGCAATGCAAATGCCAATGAGAGTAGACAAGCACAAACAGTATGCCAACATAGCATAAGACCTGCTTTCTCCCATCACTTGGAATCCCTGAAAACAGTTAACGACACCCAATACTACACAAGCATACCCTACAAAATGATGGTACGATTTCCAATACTTCCTGAATTTGTTTGTTGTTTTAGGCCTAAACAAAAGAGCCAGTGTTTGAAGCCACCCGAGGCAGAATGTTGCGTAACCGAGTTTCTGATGAAGCCCGTAAACCCGTCCGGGAGACAACTCCCCTAGCCTAATTCCAATAGAAAATCCTACAGTTCCTAAGAAAACTGCAAAAAGTTGCACTCCAGCATGTGCATAAAACCATGTAGGGCCTAAAGTTTGTATATGTCTTAAATATCGCGCAGTTACGGCCCCTATTGGAAGTAACATTCCCCAAGAAATCGCGTTTATGATGCCATGAATGATTTTTAGTGTCCTGATATTATTGTTTTGTGCCTTGGCCGTAGTTGCAGACAGGACATCAATTGTGGCTATGGACGAAAGATCATTGATTGCAGTTTGATGTATAGTTGGGGAGTAACCTTGAACATATAATCCGCGGTTCCATACATAATGAATCTTCGTTTTATTGGGGACGAGTTTGAAAGTGGCATATATTTGAATAGTTGCACCGTCGTGTATGGTGGCCATACGACCACCATATAAGGTGGCGGAGGAGGAGAGGAGGTGGATGTCAAGGGGGCGGGAAAGGAGCGGTGTTCGTTGGAGTTTCACTGTGGGATCTAGAATGTAAGGTAGCAGGACTAGTTGGCCCGAGTTGGGGTCCGGGAAAGCGATCAAAGCTCGCGTTCCTGTCATTTCAGGAGAAATCGGATTAATCCCGAACCCAACCCAGCCTGAAGGAGATATGAAGCTACCAAAGAACACGAGATCGAGGGTGGCGTTTTGAGGATGGAAAGTCCACGAGATTGAGGCTTGTTGAGTAGGAAGTGTCATGCATTTTTCGAAAGTTTTAGATACTGTTTCAGACGTACAATGCGACGAAAATGAAACATCCGGTACCTGAAGTGCGACGAAAAGGAAGAAGAAGAAGAAACAGCCAGGTAGCATAATTTACCGTTCAAGTGAAGTGATCAAAATTGAGATGATAGGAAAAGGAGGTTTAATTTGTTGGCATACATCTGTTTTTTACATAATATATAAAAGAGTAGTTTTCATCAGTGTGTGGTTGCATTAATCATGAGAAACCCACTTTCATTACTTGGCTTTAAAGAAATCCAAATTCCAGTTGCTTCACAGGTTTCCATCCTTTTTTGTCATTGAATATATGATATGCTTATTAGAGAGGATTATAATATTAAGGAAGAAAAGAAGAAGTTGAAATCGTTGTAATATTGAGTTCATTATAATTTAATACTGCAAATCAAACATGTATCGAATATTGTGTCTATTTTCTTTTGGTTTAAAAACCCATTTGCTCTTGAACTTGTGCGTTTCAGTTTAATACTAAACTTTAATGTATCAAAATAGCCACCCAACTTCATTTTTGTGTTTCGAGCACGTCACTATGTCTATTGCCGTTCATTATAACTAACTATTTTGCTAACTTTGAACATGAAAACATGACATGGCGTAAGTCTTGGTTGTTTTTATCAACCTTGACATCTATCTTGATAAGAAGAATGAAAGAAACAGAACACAAGAAAAATGCAAGGGAACTAATGGTGTAACGACTTGACACAGGACACGGCGCATTTTCTGTTAAATAATAGACGCCAGAATGACGTTGTGGTCTAACTGAAACTTTTGTAAAGTTACAAAGATTTGTATGAAATAAATTAATGTTTAGTGGGCAAGATGACATTAAGTAGAAAGTTCGATGACCATTAGTGAAATTACCCCATGTTCTTTCGTAAATTATATGTACCTGTTGTTATCAGGTGTAAACCCAAAAAATGAATAGCTTTTAGTGTTGAAATTTTGCTTCACTTCGAAGCTAAGATAGAGTGGGATGAAGGCATGATTGGGTCACCGAAAAAATTGAATCCACTCATTATAGTTTGGTGTAATCAACATACATAATAATAACAGAGACTCTTGAGGCGTGCCAGTCAATTTTGGATGACAAAAAAGTGATGAAGATGATCAATGGTGATTTGTAGCATGTTATTCAGAAGTTTCTATCTAGCTTTCGCTTTGTGCTAAAATAAAGGCAATCCTATAACATATTTGCTTAAAATACTATTTAATAAAAACATGCGGATTGATTAAATTATCTCACTCTTCTGGGAAGCCGTACCTACTTTTCCACACCTAACTTAAAAGTGATGTATGGTTTTGAAGTTGATGTAACTTAAAATACACACAAATGTCTTTCTTCCTGATTTCAATCTCCATTTTATAGAAATAATCTCCTATTCATAATGGGTAAAATATGCCAATCTTTATGTGACAATGTCATGTCAACGGTCAAATCTATAATTTTTGACAAGTCAGTATTGAATTTTGTCAAAAATTGTAGGCTCACGTCAGTAGTGGACAAAATAACTCCTACACACGGTGGGTACAAAATTATCTCTGCTCCATTTTAACGGTCTCATTAGTCACTTCACTAGAAATCAAATAATATGATAATCAATTGTCAAATAAAATAAAACTAAACAGAGATGCACATAGTTACTAAAATACAATTAGTCGAGATCACAATTATCCACTATAAGTTGTTGATCTATAGTTGACTTCTCGTTTTGATTATCATAAACAAATTACGTTTATTTTTAATAAATTGGATTTGAGTTTTTATAGCAATTATTGCAAGATCGACAAAAATTAAGACACAAAGATCGAGATCAAGAAACCAGCAATTCAGCCCCCTTGTTTTGATTATCACAAGCAAATTGCTTTTATTTTCAAAAAAGTTTTGAAAACCAATTCACTACTCTTGGTTAGCTATTTTTATGCTCGCCAATTTTAAAGATCACAAGTATCAGAATCGTATTTTTAAACTTAGAAAAGCTCTTTACGATTTAAAACAGGCTACTAGAGTTTGGTATGAACATTTGAGCAAATTTCTACTTTCAAATGGTTTCTCGATTGGAAAAGCATCTATACTACACTTTTGTTAAAACTCATAAGGAAGATATGCTTATCGTTCAAATTTATGTTGATGACAATATTTTTTGTGCAACCAGTGTTCGTCTTTGTGAAGAATTTTCAAAATGTATGAGCATAGAATTTGAAATAAATATGATGGGAGAACTTAAATTCTTTCTCGGCTTTCAAATTAAACAAATAAGTGATGGAATATTCATAAATCAAAATAACTACATATTAGACATGCTCAAAAGGTTTGAAATGGATGATCTAAAGCCAATGAACACTTCGATGAGTACATCCATAAAGTTTGACAAAGATGATCAAGGTACTTCCATTGACATAACTAAATATCGAGGTTTGATTGGAACCCTTCTTTATTTAATTGCAAGTAGACCCAATATTATGTTAATCCTAAGGAATCTCATGTTAAAGCCATAAAAAGAATCTTTAAATACTTTAGTGGAACTCAAATTTCGGACTTTGATATCCAAAAGAGACTCACATTGACCTACTTAACTATTCGGATGCCGATTGGGCCAATTGCTAAATTGATCGAAAAAAGCACTAGCGACATATGTCATTTTCTAGGTTTTGCACTAATATCATGGTTTAGTAAGAAACAAAATTTCATGGCATTATCTACTGCTAAAGCTGAATATATCTCGACCGTGAGTTGCTGTACACAAGTGCTATAGATGAAACAAAGCCTTAGTGATTATCATTTATCTTACAATCATATTCCTATTATGTGTGATAACAATAGTGCCATTAACTTATCTAAGAATCCCATATTGCACTGTCAAACGAAGCATATTAGAATTAGACATCATTTTTCTTAGAGATCATGCACAAAAGGAGATATCACGTTAGAATTTATTGACACGAAAAATCAATTGGCCGACATCTTCACCAAACCTTTAGCGCTTGATCGATTTTCACACATTCGAAGAAGTTTAGGAATTATTAACGAAAATGATGTGCTCGATTAAAATAAAATTCTTTTCCTATTATTTGATGATTTACAAAAAAAAGAAAAAAGAAAAAAAAGAGAGGCATCCCGACGCATCTTGGTCTGTCCGGACGATCAGGACATGAGTGTTTGGATTGACAGAACTTTTCAAAAGAGTTATTGTTCTATTCATCCGGACGTTCGGATGGTAAACCAGATGTCCAGTTCAACACAAAACCAAAATAAATCATGATAGTTTCATTTTCTTCCTTTTTATTGCGATTTCCTCCCTAAAATCACTCACTAGCCCAATTCTTCACTCAATTATCTCATATTTGTTTGAAATTCAAATATCCAAGAGATTAAGAGCACCAATCTCTCAAAAAATCGAAAATTCAAATTCAGAAAACCCCTAAATTTACTCCACCCGAGCCCTCTATCAAAATCTGAAATCTCCATACTAATTCCTCAATTTAGTTGTCGAAATTCAATAACCCCAACACAAATTATCTCAAAATTTGAAATTTCATCTGCAAGTTCCACTTTTTGCTTGCAAGAATCAAGTCCTAGTTCTTTAATTTGCCCACGATAAGAGTGTAAAATATAATATTTTCTCCTCTTAATTATTGCATTGGTGTGATTATTTGATATCAAAATGCACTCATTATACTTATACTTTGATTTAGGTTGCAATTTGGTAGAAAATATGAAATTTAGAAGAAAAGAAGGAAAAATGACCAAAATAGAAGAAAGTGAAAGTTTATTGACCAAGTTAGAAATAATCTAAAGATGAGACAGGTGATGGAATGATGATTTGAGAAATCTAGGAGTCCATTGGGTGCAATTAGAAGTCAAAAGAAATTAAATATGACCATAACTTATTCACAAATCAAATTCCAACCGCATAAATATTTTCCAAATTTCCAAAAGAATTAAGTAGCCCTTTGTGTTAATTTTTCAACGCACTTCAAATTTCCTTAATTGGACATCAAGAGAGAAAGTTATGGTCAAAATATTGAAAATAGTCACACAGAATATTCTAGCCGAAAATTTAGTTTCCTTATTTGGTTCAATCTCTTTTGGAAACAAATTGGCATATGGTTTTAAGCCCAGACTGGATAGAGAATGCCTCTCTTCATCCTTACATCAATTTTCTTTGGTTTTTGACTCAAAAGTTCCATGAAGAACTAAAACACTTGGTGAAGTTTAGAAGGAACTTATTGGATTTGGGAAAATCACATCAATTGCTCATGTAATTTGGTATTTTATTGTCAAACAATTCTAGATTTTACACTTTCTCCTTAGGAATTGATTTTGAAATTGGTTTAATTTTTATTAGATCTTTCATAGATTCAATCATGTTTTTTCTAGTGTTTGATCGAAATATTTATTGAGTTGCAATTTCATTTATGTTATTGGTGGGTTATTTATGATCTTATGCTTGAAGTACATGGTTACTTTTGATATTACTCCAATAACAATTGTGGAAATGTGTTAGAAAGTCTAAATCTTAGAATTACAATTGGAACTAAAGTGATCATTACCGTTAAATCTTCCAATTAGAGAGTTGTGATGAAAACTTCTAATTGAGCAAAAAGCCATGAGTTATTGATGTTGATGATCCAATCCAATTGAAGTAATTCGGATGCTTCACTAATCTCACATATTGATAATTAAATCTCATTCCAATTAACAAATTATTTTCACATAATTCACGAAATCCTAGTTCGATAAAGATAAATCCTTTAAACAATTCGTCCATCTCCCTATGGAATTGACACCCCAATGCTATACTATAATTACCGCGTTATACTTTGGGCGTAATCAAATTTTGGCACCGTTGTCGGGGAGATGGTATAGATAATTGAAGGATTCTCAAGCAAAAGGGTGACTTCGTTCATCTTCTATATTTTTTTAGTTAGTTTAATTTCTTTTCTTAGTTATTTTGTTATTTCTCATCTAGTTTAATTTTTTTGTGTTTTATGAATAGGCATCGAGATGAGTGAGAGCGATTCATTATGAGGCCTCAACCAGTGTTTGAATCACTTTCTAATCCTTTTTTTTTTATACTGCATCTATTACCATGAACACTACATCACATAACACAATGAGTGATAGTGAACACGAAGAGGCACCAACTAGGACTTTGCACGATTATCTTCACTCCACTCGCACA